AAGATCGCAAGAAATTGTATAGCACCTTCTACAAAGATCAAACGCTTCCAGCAACATTGCGCAATAAGGTTCATCTAATCGCTAACACTAAACGATCCATTCTGCAACTAACGGAGCCTAGACGATTGCAACACGTTTACATGTTAGGGGCCCAAATGAGACACCAGGGGGCCCTAATGAAGCATAGGGTACATCCGACGTCGGAAATAACTGCAATCTCGCCACCACGATGACTGATAAAGTTCAAGACCAGATTAATATCCTGTGCTGCAGGCACCACGGGGTCATCGTTTTATCCAGATCAATATCCCTTGATCTTCATCTTCATCCGAATGTATGACATGACAAAAAAGGTAGGCGGTGAAACACGAATTGGTGAGGTTTCACTGTGCATAACAATGCTTTGACCACTGTTTTTTTATAACGTTTGTTAGTTTGTGGTCAAATCGAGTTTTCATGCCTGGCCGTTTATAAAGCTGTGGTGTTACTAAAAAATATGTGCTGTTCATTGCACAAATACACAAGAGTGTCTTATTTTATATAACATAGTGTTTTTATTTTTTTCAATCTGTACCACTTTGTTATTTATATGGTTTATATAGTGAAAGACGTCTCTACATTGAACGCTTGATTAATGGAACCATCAGTCATGTTCTGGCGTCTAGGGATGTGATCAATCGTGATTCTCAAATATCGGCCACGTGTTGTGACGCCCCTTCAAATCATCGTATTGCCTACAGACGTCAATGACGTACACAACGTCGTCATTGGTATAATTGTCGCTGGTCACTTTGCGCTTCCTTGATAGGCGCGGACGTCACTGGCAACGTCGATGTATTCCGATTCTCTTTTCACTTCCTTGATAGTCGCGGTCGTCACTGGCAACGTCGATGTATTCCGATTCTCTTTGCACTTCCTTGTTAGGCGCGGTCGTCACTGGCAACGTCGATGCATTCCGATTCACTTTGCACTTCCTTGATAGGCGCGGTCGTCACTGGCAACGTCGATGCATTCCGATTCACTTTGCACTTCCTTGATAGGCGCGGTCGTCACTGGCAACGTCGATGTATTCCGATTCACTTTGCACTTCCTTGATAGGCGCGGTCGTCACTGGCAACGTCGATGTATTCCGATTCACTTTGCACTTCCTTGATAGGCGCGGTCGTCACTGGCAACGTCGATGCATTCCGATTCACTTTGCACTTCCTTGATAGGCGCGGTCGTCACTGGCAACGTCGATGCATTCCGATTCACTTTGCACTTCCTTGATAGGCGCGGTCGTCACTGGCAACGTCGATGTATTCCGATTCACTTTGCACTTCCTTGATAGGCGCGGTCGTCACTGGCAACGTCGATGCATTCCGATTCACTTTGCACTTCCTTGATAGGCGCGGTCGTCACTGGCAACGTCGATGCATTCCGATTCACTTTGCACTTCCTTGATAGGCGCGGTCGTCACTGGCAACGTCGAAATGAAAGTCAACCTGAGACCTCTTGACAGATGGGGGTTGGTTATGGTGTTTGGTGGCATCATCAAACCTGACTGAACCCCACTCCATATTACCCAAGGAATTGTCACTTGACAGTACTTTCGGGACAACATACTGACACCTTTTGTTGTCTCGTTTGTTTTGTTTTCCAATGCGACAACGCCCGCGCTCACCGTCCACGAAATGTCAATGCTCACCTACAGCAGCACAACATCCATAGAATGTCATGGCCAGCCATAAACCCGGACCGTGCCCCCATTGACCACGTCTGAGGTGAGGTGAGGTGAAATGGGGTTTAACGTCGCGTCCAAGATTATTGCACTTATACAGCGACGTGCATGCACGGGTGTGTGTATGGCTGATTGTACTAGACCGGACTGATGCCGATTTATAGTGCTAGCTCACTGAGATACCATGCCGCAGTTTAACATGAATACACCACTCAGACACAGTATACTGACCCCGAGCCAACCAGTCTTTGTTTTAGCCCCTTAATGCCGAGCGCCAGACAAGGTAACACCAAGTACCACCTTTTAACGTCTTTTGGTATGACGCGGCGGGGATCCAACCCCGGACCTTCCGCTCTTCCGGCGGACGCTCTACCACTAGACCACGGAGGCGGTCCATTGTAACCATGAGGGAATAAAACGTGCGTCTTCGACGTGACGAGCGAACACTTTAACCACTAGGCTACCCCACCCCTCATCCACAAAGATTGTACACATTGATTCAGTTTGTTCAGTTTGAAGAAATAGCATGCCATTTTGATTCCATTTTGATTGCCATAGAAAATGGTAGTTATGGACAGAACGCTCTAGCAGTATTACAGCGAATGTTACGTGTATAAGAGAAACACCATGGTGAGGTGAGGCGAAATGGGGCTTAACGTCGCGTTCAAGGTTTTTGCACTTTATGGCGCTGTGCACGCAGTATACTCCGAGTCGACCATTCCTTGTGTTATTCCTTTCATACAGACCACGTGTGAGACATGATAGGGGGACATGTGCATCAAGGTCAAAGGTCGCCGATTAATTGGCCAGACACTGCACCAGAAAGACTCCCTCAAAACGCCATCGGGAGACTCTTACACAATGTGCCTCGTCGAGGGAATGAATGGTTCGAAAAATCGTGGCGGTATTATGCACTAATGGTTAATAACGTCAATTTTGAAATTTCCCATCTTACGCCTCTGGTACTTCAAGATTTTTGGCGGCCATAACATCTACTGCTATGCTTCACTACCGGTTATAATGTGTTCCCAATTCGTTCATTATTATCATGAAACTATCTATTAATAGAAACTAATATCTTTTGAAAGATTAAAGCGTATTTCAAGGTACCCTCTATGGTTTTGAGAGTACTTGTATATTTACATTGTAAAACGTCAACGCCAGAGAAAACCTCAGTCTCGATTATCCGACGAAACAAAATTAATTCAATTAATTCAGTTGGGCGTAAAGGGAAAATAGCGGTAAAAATAATACTGACTGACTGAGTATGGTTTTACGCCGCTTTTAGCAATATTCCAGCAATATCTCGGCGGGGGACACCAGAAATGGGCTTCACACATTGTATCCATGTGGTAATAATAATAATTATGAATCACGGGATATGTGTGATGATGATACCGGGTGTTCGAGATGAGTGGAAGCATGTCCTGACCTACCGGTCTCACTCCCTGACTCACTCCCTGACTCCCTGACTCACGCCCTGAATCACTGACTGACTGACTGACTGACTGACTGACTGACTGACTGACTGACTCACTGACTGACTGACTCACTGACTCACTCACTCACTCACTCACTCACTCACTCACTCACTCACTCACTCACTCACTCACTCACTCGATTGTTCTGTATGTCAGGGAATGACTAATTTAGATCATATGAACTCTTGTTTCTCAGTCCGTTGTTTTCACCGGGAAAATATGAACGATGCCCTCTTTGCGGATAACATTAAACAATCCTCTTATCTCGGCCAAAAGAAGAAAGATTATGATCAAGATTGTCTTCCTTTTAGGGTGTAATAATAATGAAACAATTTTAGGGTGTAATAATTATGAAACAATTTTAGGGTGTAATAATTATGAAACAATTTTAGGGTGTAATAATTATGAAACAATTTTAGGGTGTAATAATTATGAAACAATTTTAGGGTGTAATAATTATGAAACAATTTTAGGGTGTAATAATTATGAAACAAATTTAGGGTGTAATAATTATGAAACAATTTTAGAGTGTAATAATTATGTTATTACGTGACAACACTCTTTCATTTTAGGAAGCAATTGTGCGAAATCATTAATCATTCATTCATAACTTATTTATCAGCAATAGGGCTTAAAACTACTTTCGAGACTGGCACCTAATGGAAGCATCGAGAAGAAGAGCCGTCCATTCTAGACGTAGACGTAAGTTTATAACAAACTTACATAAAAAGTACGTGCTTGTTGCCTGACAAATCACAGCAGTACTCCTGCCATGCGATCGGATGGACAAGCTCGCTGACTTGGCTGATGCATGTCATCGCATCCCGATTACTTAGTAAATCCGTTATGTCCAAAAATAATTAGTTGTTTTGAAACTTTCGCATCTAGATCAGGAGTATCTACATTTCATTTTTGTTTGTTTGTTTCTACTAGAAATGCATATACATTTAAATTGTCAAATTGTCTTGACATGATGAGTATATTACTGATATATCCTTCTGTATTGAACGTCACGCTATGGCTGAAAGCCTTTGCGACGTAAAACTTCATATTTCCATCCCATTCCTTTTGTATTCCTTTTGTATTTTATACTACTACTGCTGCCACTGTGGTTATTACCACTGTTATTACATTACCTCTATTACATGTCAATCATCATAGAAGTTATCCAATAATTATATAATATGCTGTACAGCTGTAAATGATATTGTTTATCTGTATGTGTATATGGGCCAATGGCCTTTCATACGATAAAGATTGATTGATTGATTGCGTGGATCGATGCTCATGATGTCAATCACTGGAATATTGCAGAGTGCGGCGTTAAGCAACAATCAAACAAC